TCACTCCTGAGCCTCCTCTTCTCCAGGCTAAACAATCCCAGATCCCTCAGCCACTCCTCACAGAACTTATGCTCCAGACCTTTCACCAGGCTTGACTGCCCTTCTCCAGACCCACTCCAGCACCTCAATGTCTTTCCTGAATTGAAAGGCCCGGAACTGGACGCAGCACTCAAGGAATGGCCAGACCAGTGCTGAGTACACAGGAAGAATCGCTTCCCTAGTCCTGCTGGCCACAGTATTTCTCATACATGTCAGCAGGTTTCCTCCATCCATACTTACTTACTGTCCACACTTGAAGTTTCTTGATGGCTGTCTCAGCCAACTGCCATTTGTTGAAACTGCTGTGTCTCTAGAGCCTGGGCTCCATTTTTTAACCAATTTCTGTAGCACGCTGCTATCAATGAAGGGTTTAACGTGCTCAAGCAGTGTTCAGTGTAATTTGAAAGAAGGTAGGAAGAGGTCACAATCCAGCTCTGGCTCATTCTATTATTTTTATACAGTGCACAAAAGCCAAGAGGTATGCAAGGGGCTCCTGCTTGCAGGAACCATGCTAAAGTGAGGTATTACTGAGACACACACAGACACACTTGTCTGGATGACTCCAGCCAACTGTGCATGACCTGCAGAGGACCGCTGCCAAGCACCAGCTGAGTCGGTCCCAACACCACTCTAGTGTAAGAATTTTAATTTCCCTGTTGCAGTTCCCTCGTGCTGGAAGCTGCCAGCTCAAGTCCTCAATACCATCTGAATTTGGATGGAGAAGCCAGGAGATGTAGCTTAAATTTTTCATTTTTCTTTACACGTCATTGGTGGAATTCCATGCAAGCACTTCCGGCTTCAAAATCACACAGATCTTACAGAGAAGAGGTGTTTTCAATGCCTACTCAAGCATATGTTACTATTAATATTTATCTTTGGTCATAGTTTAGCACAAAGCTCATGAACCCTGCCATGATTTTTAACAAAAAAGAGACAGAAAATAAGAGCTCTTCTGCATACCATGCAAACTTAAAGCCATCCTCTCATAAAAATATCAAATATACTTGTCAAGAACAGGTTAGAAAGCAAGTAGACATTATCACTAGCATCCTTCAATTTAAATAGAGTGCTTCACAGCATTAAGAAGTAAAAAACAGTTTATTTGCAGCTGATGACATTTTTAATCATCATCAAACAAATTACAACCTTTTATAATAGGAGGTTTGGACAACTCAAGGACCCACCAAGGATTCTGGAAGAATGATGTTTACTACTGTTCACTTAGCATTAGGAAATCAAAACAGCACTAAAACCCAAGGGACCAAAAGGGCACTTACGTCACACCAGCATAGAAGAACCACATGTAGAACCACCACGTAGGCAGAGCAGTGTATTTTACCCAGGGCAAAATACAAGAAAAACCAGCAGGGCAGGAATGAATAGGTTCAAGAGGTTTTTCATTTACCTAATTTTTTGGTAAGATTTTGTTTTCTTAATTAAAGAAATCTGTAAGTAACAAATCTCACAAACTAATTGTCACAGAAGAACTGTATTTGAGTAGAGGTGCTTAGAGAACTGCTCTGGGACCATTACTAGGTTTAAGACTATTTCACATTTTCTTCAAAGATGTGTAAGCACATATAAACTCATTGCTGATTATATTTGTGGACAACCCAACAGCTGACACTGTGGTGAACAAAAGAACTGGACCATCACATAAGAGTTCTGGAACAGCTGATAAAGCATACTGTTCAAAATTACTATAATTTTTAAATAGCCAAATCTCAGGCTATACATCCAGGAAAAGAACACAAAGCCGTACCTTGGGAAAACAAGCCACACACTGGAAAAAACCACTGACTCTGAAAAAGGCATTAGGGTCATAATGGACGAGGAACTGAAACACGAGATCCCAACTTAACACTTTGACAAATATGAGATATCCACCTTGGAAGCAAAATCCAAAGAAAGCAGGGATTTTACCTGCATGTAGACCAATGAAAAAAACTGTAACAGGGTTTTATCTCCTTAAAAGAAGATTACAAATCTGTGAAGGGACTAAGGAAGACAGGCATAACACAAGATTTTAGGAAGTCAATCCATGCATTTCATTGAGAAATATTAAAAGCATTCAAATGCTTTCCAGCAGGAAAATATAAGATACTGTCCTCTTTTGTAGAGCCATCCCCTCTTCTTTTCCCCTAAGTGAAAGCTGAAGTCAAATTCTAGTCACAAGACAGACGTACTTCAACACAGGGATTACTAGCTATTGAAATATAGTATCAAAAGGAAACATAATTAGATTTTATGCCCTTTTCAAGAGCCAATGCCTTTCTCTGGCATAAAAACCTTCACAGAAGGTCAGATCAGATGAAGGGTGTCAAACTCTAACCACTAACATAAAGCAGGAAGGAATCTGAATGTCCAGTCTCAGCTGATAAAGTGCTTTATGTAATTTCTGCCTTTATATTGAACAATGCAAAATTTTACACATCAATTCACCCTCAGCACACTATTCACCCTCATCTTCTGTAGTTTGTCAATGATCTGCAACTTGTAAAAGATTTCTTCCCACACAGATTTCCAGAAACTATTCTGCTATGCCCATTAAAGAGGTATGGCTGAGACAGAATCAAAAGCTTACGACAAGCAATAGCTAACAAATATTAGACCTCTCTGTTCCACCAGCAAAAAAATATAAAAAATTTCTGTCATAAGATGACTAAGAAGTTTATATTCTTCATGATAATGAAGGGCAGCACAATTTTACAGCAGCACAGTTTATCATTAGAATTTATGAATTACAAGCCAATTTCTATATTTGCTATTTTTCCATAGCTCCTTTTAAAGTACTAGTAGTAATATTGCAAATTTGGGATATCTTGTTTTAAGTCACAGAGATTCACAAGTATCATTTCATCCGTTACTAAAAATCTTTAGTGGAATTATTCCCTTCCATTTCACTGCAGCCCATTAGAACCTAAAGGCCAAGAAAGAAGGTGGCACATGAAAGCTTCCACTAGGGCAAACAAACCTCAGCTCGACACAAAAATATAATTTCAATGTTTATCTACTTGAAATATATCACCTGCTACTGACATAATTAGGTAGCTATTAAAATGCTTACCTTATTGTTTCTTCCTCTTTCAATGTTTAAGGACATTATTAATGAACCTACTGTAAGTCCTGAAAATAAAGCTAGTCCACTTCAAGAAGCTGCTCTTTATGTTCACAAAATTTTCTTCCTACAGACTGTCAACCAAGTCACTGGGGGGTGTTCCACTTACAGAAATAGCTGGTTAATGATTTTCTGAAGATATTTCCAACAAAACAATGCCAGAGACAGAAAATTCAGCATGCACATTCGGAAAAGAAAAATAAGAAATGATCTTAAGGTTTCTGGTTACTATTCTATCAACTACAGTTTAAGACTGGAATTAAACTGTTGTGCTCTTCAGCTGTAGACAACAAGACACATATTTAGAATAAAGACACATATTCCAAATCATAGAATCATAGAATCAGCCGGGTTGGAAGGGACCTCTGAGATTATCAAGTCCAACCCCTGATCCACTACTGCCGTGGTTACTAGACCATGGCACTAAGTGCCACGTCCAGTCTCATCTTAAAAACTCCAGGGACGGAGAATCCACCACTTCCCTGGGCAGCCCATTCCAATACCTGATTACCCTCTCCGTAAAGAATTTCTTCCTAATATCTAACCTAAACCTCCCCTGGCAGAGCTTAAGACCATGCCCTCTTGTCTTACTGATAGTTGCCTGGGAGAAGAGACCAACCCCCACCTGGCTACAACCTCCTTTGACGGAGTTGTAGAGAGTGATGAGGTCTCCCCTGAGCCTCCTCTTCTCCAGGCTGAACAACCCCAGCTCCCTCAGCCTCTCCTCATAGGACTTGTGCTCGAGTCCCTTCACCAGCCTTGTTGCTCTTCTCTGGACCTGCTCCAGCACCTCAATATCCTTCCTGAACTGAGGGGCCCAGAACTGGACACAGCACTCCAGGTGTGGCCTCACCAGCGCTGAGTACAGGGGAAGAATCACTTCCCTGGACCTGTTGGCCACATTGTTCCTGACACAGGCCAGGATGCCATTGGCCTTCTTGGCCACCTGGGCACACTGCTGGCTCATGTTCAGCTTCCTGTCAATCCAAACTCCCAGGTCCCTTTCTGCCTGGCCACTCTCCAGCCATTCCATGCCCAGCATGTAGCACTGCAGGGGGTTGCTGTGGCCAAAGTGCAAGACCCGGCACTTGGCCTTGTTGAACCTCATCTCGTTGGAATCAGCCCAACTCTCCAGCCTGTCCAGGTCCCTCTGCAATGACCACATATCAAGTGCTGGGGCAGCATGAGTACTTGTGAAATTCATCATGTCAACAAAGCTGCTATGGTTCTGTATTTCTAAGTTTTCCAACCACAGGCTTAAACAAGAGATACTGCTTACCACCTACATTCTATGGCTGCATTTTTAGATGATTTCAATTTAATGCTCTTCTTATGAGCAGAAGGTGTCAATTTAGTTTGTTCCAGGCTTCCACTGGAAAAAATAGTATTATTTTAAAAGTCTGCTTTGAAAAAAAGCATCTCACCCAACCTGCTACTCTCCAGAAACTTAAAAGTGAAGAGAGAATACACAACCAATTTCTTATTCCACCCAGTGAATAATGAAGGTCTTTAATAAGTAATATAAACACACAGACTCATATGCTTATCACTTCATACTAACTTGGAAGAACAGAGTTAATGACCTGAAGAATTTTCAGAGTAAATGACTATGGCATATTTCTGCAGTTCTGCAATATGTGTTTACAGCCATTTAAATACAAATGTGTTTGCAGGATTAGACCACAGAGAGAACACGTTAATTGATGAAACCAGATGTAATGACACAGACAGGTCCTAACACTGACGGAGCCGCAGCCTGCGATGTCAGTCCTGACAGCATTCAGCACTCTCTGACTCTGCCACTGGGTAAAACGAATGGGAGGAATGAGAGCAGCAGGGAAAGTTCTTTGCAAACTGTGTCCTGTATTTATTCAATACGAATTATTAGCACCACATATATTTCTGATTCTAAACCCAGCCTTTTGGAGCCATGTCAACTATTTGTCCATAGCAATCCAATTTCACGGATTCAGACACATTGCATCTTCCATCTTGCAAAATCTACCACAGCATAGAAATATGCACTTTTTTTAGTAGTGTACCACAAGGCATGAGACAAAAATATCAATATATTTAAATAAAAACATTTACTGTATTAGGAAAAAAGCTAGAATCAAATCTATAGTACCTACAGCTTTCCATTAATAAAACAAATTATTATTTTTCCCACAAAAAACATTAATATCTCTCGAGTAGAACAGTGGTCAAAGTCCCAAGACAATTACATAGGTAGTCATTTTTAAACAGAATATGATTTTACCCAACACTGGAATTGAACAGTGATAGTCTCTTGAGCAAATCAGTATTTTGATACATATTATAGGTATTTTTATACTGTCCTAGGTAGTTAGTGAACCACTAGGAAGTTTTTACAGTAACATTCTAGTGGATTGAATAATACAAATATTCTGTTAATTATTAAATCCTTAAATGTCCAATAGCAAACACTGAATTTAACACTCGATCTCCACTGGATTGAAGCCAATTACTAAAAATAACTCTAACTAGCTGTCTCTCTATGATCTGTTATCTGTCTGCTCCTTTCCAAAAGTGGTTCCTGCAGCACCATGAGGTGAGGCTTGGTGATTATGGCCGAGAAAGGAACATAGATCACCTGAACCATCAAGCCTACAGGCTGCTGCAGCAGAGCAGACCATGGAAGAGTCCGTGATTACCAAAACCACATACTAGTCTGACTCTTCTCTCTAACTGACATTTAAATACCTGCCATGTGGCTTTTTATTTATTTTTGCTCCCTTTGAGAAGGCTTGCGAGTAATACTTTGAAATTAGAGTGCTAAGTTAAGAACACTCTTAATAGACATCATTTTATAATTTTTGTGTATGTAAAGAGAGGATATGGTAACTAGGCGGTGGAAAACAAAGGATGTTTACAGCACTTGAACAAATGAACTAGCTTCCATATAATCAACAGAACACGAAAATGTGAAATCAATGTTGATTTATAATTGCAAAAATAAAGTCCTACACATACAAGGAATATAAACAGTCTTTGATCACAGAACAGTTGCTTAAGACAGAATTAAATAATCAACATGCACTCATTCACTGAAGTCATCACTTTTACAAACAGTTAAGTGTTGCATGCATCTGTTCAGACTAAATGTAAATCAGACACTTGGCTATAAGCTTCAGCCAAGAAGTTACTATGACTCTCCTCTCTCACTATCTCCCAATCTTGTTTCTAATCACCTTATCTGAAGTTATTTGAGTTGCCACTTGTAAGAGTTACACTACTATTTATTTCTTAAAGGCTTCTAAAAGGCAGGGAATGACACAGAGATACTGAAAGAAGAAAAAAAAAATTCCTTTGGGAAAAAAGTTCTTAATCAGAACCAGTTAATATTGACCACTGTCACAGTTTAAGAACTGTTACCCCCACAAATCCTACTTCCTTACCAATGTGAGAATGAAAAACATCACCACTCCCATCTATTAGTGCAGATTTAATGGGCACAAACCTACTGGAGAGGAAGCAACTTGCACACACATTTTACAACCTTGGTCAACTCCTCATCTCTGAAAACAGTTCTATCCTGAGGTATCCTCTGGGATACCAGTCTGCTAAGAAAACTCTTCCTCAACACATCAAGTGAACTCCCAGTTCCATACCTTCTATTATTGTAATAGCAAAACATGACCGGAATTCACAGTAAGGTCACAGAAGACAACTTCACTTCAAAACAGAATGATAAATTCTGCAGCTTATTCTGGATTTCACATATTTTATTTCAAGTACATGACAAGTACCCATTTTGGTCAGAACCTGCAGCTTTAGGCTTGTCTTCTTTTTAACATTTAAATGCACATCCAGGTCAATCTATCAGAATACTCAGGAGCAGGTACCTTCCACGAAAACACTGCATGAAAGGATATAGCAGGTACAATCTTCTTACTTTAGTCTCTGTTTTTTGTAAAGTGCTGATGAACCCTGAATTCCCATGGCTAGGTCTCTTGATGAAGACTTCAGTATCCCTTCCTTCCTCTGAATCTTGCCCTGGTATCCAACTGAAAATTGAAGTCAATATATTAAAAGCTGGTATTTTGCAAAAGAAATATTTTAGAGTGCTTGTGCTACCTTGGCACTTAGTAACATCAGAACAAAGGCCAGAATAAAGCAGAAGGCACTGTAAAGAAAACTAGTGATATAGCCAACAAGCCATAGGGTGGTTCTGATGAGAGACATTATATTATCTTAAATCTCACACAAAATTAAAATTATGTGATAAGCATCCTGTGCATTCTGAAATAAACAGTGGAGCAACACAGATGACAAGAGCAGCATAGTAGGACGTCAAAGAACACACAAAAACAAGGTAGTGTAAGTCTGCTTAAATCAGTTTTTCCAAATGTAACTGATAATCTGAAGGAGGGAAATTCAGATTTGGTTGAAGTGGGAGTCACTGCAAATGTCCATGAGGAGAGGGATAACTTAAATACAAGAAGTTTGTGGAAAAAATAGAAATAAATCAGTAAAAACTGAAATAATATTCAGCTTCTAAAATGTACAAGTTTATTCTTGGCAGTTACAAAAAAAGATTTAATGGAAGGCTAAAGATGACAGTAAAGCTAAAATAAAAGGTACACTGCAGTACTTACAGAAGCTAAATTGCAATTTCTTTCCCAGTGCAGCAGAAAAATATACTTTGATCTTGGGAGAATTCTTCTGAATTTAGATAGTCAGACTTGAAGATGGCAGCGACAGATTGCAACTCAGCCATATTCAGATATTAGATTGAGGAGGTTTCTTTTATCTCCATTAACTAACCCTCTTCCACGATTCAAAACTGCAGTAAAATTTGTAAAGAGCTCGACTACATGATAACATAGCTTATCCAATAACCTAGCAGCTTCCACTTTAAATCCTGTTCCTACTTAAATGTCTAAAGTTTACTGAAGCTTACTCTACTGATAAGACATTCTATTTCCTCACAAAGAAAACAGTATCTAGACAAAATCCCTAATCATTTTAGAATATTCTAAATAATATTTGCATCTAGTGTCTAACTTGGTTTTGGACACTCTTTAATCCTCACTATTGTAACAAGTAAAAAATTTGGCAGGGTACAATTATTAATTATTGAAATTCTCAAAATTAACAGGACAAGAAAAACATCACTCACCAGCCTTAGAATTTCAGGCAATTAAATAGAATCATCTAAGAGCCAGGCTTCTTCCCACATGACTGGATACATTTAGACTGCAATTTAAGTTTCATCAGGCTGCCTTAACAATCCAGATAAAAATACAGGCACATCACCTGTATATGTTGCTACTGCAGCATCATATAGGTATTTCAAACATTTAATACACAGCATTTTTCCTGTCTGCAGAAATAATAATTTGTGACTGTATGGATTAATATGGTTCATATAGGAGAGGTACAAAAAGCTGGAATGACTACTTCAGAATGGAAGAAAAATTTTAGGTACCATTTCAGCTGTGCACTTTTCATTATGTACCACATCAGCTAAAAATAAAAATCAGCCCTGCACAACTCATGTTTTGATACCATCTTTATAATATTTTAACTATTTTTAAAATATCATGGAAACACAGGCAAGACGTTTCTGGACATGGAACTCCTATCAAAATAGGGGAAACTTTATCTAGTGACATTTTTGTAAGTATCATATGGGATAGTTCGCTATATAAAAAACCCAAACTGTTAGTTATCATGAATTCAAGTACTCCGAGAAAATTAATGACTCAATGTGAATTCAATGCAAGATCCTGATTCAACAGTGAAAGTCTCATTTAATTTCATTTCAGTGTTCTCTATACAGATTCTCTTTGGATGTCTTGCAGACAAAAAATGTCTTGTCAATATTTTATCTTACAATTACCTGATCTAGAATTTTTTTAAACCAAAACTTTACTAAAAACAATAGTAAAAATACCTACCTCACTACCTGTGACATTCTAAGCCTAATTCAATATAAACACATTTTTCCATTTTTTCATACACTACTTTTTCTTCATGAGAACAATCAGAGTTTTTCTACATACGAACATCCATATTTTAAATCGGATTCAAAGGCAGGAGTTGTTCTGCTTAATGACACCAGCTTTACTGAATTAAAATGTTCTTCAAAAAAGTGGGGAAAGGACAGAAAGCATCCAGGCCACTGTCACCAGACACGCCACACTTACCATTGATCTTTTGCATGCAAAGAATGTCACTTGCAAACTCCTACAGTGTCCTTCCCTCAAGCATTGTTTAGGGCTTTTGTTTTCCTAGTAGATGAAAAATAAGGGATTAAAACCTTGATTTGTGCAGCTCGTCAAAGAAACACCAAAATACTTCCTAGAATCATAGAGTGGTTTGGGTTGGAAGGGGACCTTGCAGGTCACCTCGTTCCAACTTCATACAAGGTCTACTGGGGATTTCGCCTCGCTACGATGACCTGCGCTTTCCCCTGGAGCTGTAATTCTCTGAGGTGCTGCATACAGGAGCGAGCAGGCCGGAAAGGGGCGGCTTGCAGGCGGCAGCGCTCACCTGCAGCACGCAGGGGCTCTCCAGCAGGCACTGCCGCAGGTCCTCCCGCACGCCGCTGCAGGCGCGCTCGTCCTCCTCCTTGTCCTCGTAGTACTTGGGCATGGCGGCGAGCCCAGCCCTACGCGCCGCTACCGCTCCCGCCCGCCCTGGCGACACCTCCGGCGGCCTCCGGCATCCCGGGCGCTGCGGCCGCTTCCGGCGGGGGCAGGAAGGGCCGGGGCGGTGCCGGGAAGGATCCCGGGCGCCTGCGCCGCGGACGGTGCCGGAAGGCTGCGGGAGGCGGTGGCGGCGGTGCCGGGCGGGGTCGCGGCGCGGGCCGGGGCAGCAGGTGAGCTCCCCCCTCTCCCCCCGGCGCGCAGCGGAGCTCGGGGACGTTCGGCGCCTCCCGACCCGGAGCGGAGCGCGGGTCCCGCTGAGGGGGGGCGGGTGTTCGTCAGCAGCGCCGGCCGGGCCGCCCCTAAATCTGGGAAACGTGCGGTGTTACGGGTTGGAAGGGACCTGAAAGATCATCTAGTGCCAACCCCCCCGCCATGGGCAGGGACACCTTCCACTAGACCGCGTTGCTCAGAGCTCCATCCATCCTGGCCTTGAACGCCGCCAGGGTTGGGGCGTCCACAACCTCCCTTGGCAGCCTGTTCCAGTGCCTCACCACCCTCAGAGTAAAGAATTTCTTCGTAATATATAACCTAAATTCCCTCGCTTTCAGTTTGTACCCATTACTCCTTGTCCTATCGCTACAGTTCCTGATGAAGAGTTCTTCTCTAGCTTCTCTGTTTTCCCCCCTTCCTGGAAGGTTGCTATGAGGTCTCCACACAATCTTCTCTAGGCTGAAGAGCCCCAGCTTTCTCAGCCTGTCTTCATAGGGGAGATGCTTCAGCCCTCTGTCACTTAGTGGCCTCCTCTGGACTTGCTCCAACAATTGTCACTGTTTATACTTGTGCTCAGTTTTTGTCACTTCAGCATTGCAGGCACGGCCTGCATCATGTGATTTTATTTGTAGCCGTCACTATATGCAAAACCAAACACATCTTTTGAAATTCTTTCTTTAGCAAGATGCTGCCAACCACCTTGGTTAGTTCTCGGAGCCAGGGCAATGGTGCGCTGAGCCCCAGGGATGCTGCAAGGCACACGGCCGGAGCGAAACGCTACAAGTACCTGCGGAGGCTCTTCCACTTCCGACAGATGGACTTTGAGTTTGCGCTTTGGCAGATGCTTTATTTGTTCACTTCACCACAGAGGGTTTACAGGAACTTTCACTACAGAAAACAGACAAAGGACCAATGGGCGAGAGATGATCCTGCTTTCCTAGTACTGCTTAGTATCTGGCTCTGTGGTGAGTGCAGGACAACAGACAGCATAAGGGAGAGGGAGGGAAAGTTTAGGGATAAATATTCATTTTCCTTCCAGTAACACGCAAAAAAGAGACCAGTCCATATGTATCATCCTTTAGTCAAAGTAGAATAGAGGAAAAGGGCCTAACCTTTTGGAAGTTAAGATAGGAATTAGAAAATGGAATAGGCACAACTAAAACTGTTTAGTCTTGAATTGATCTCTGTTGCAACTCATTTTCTGTTGCATTTCAAGCTATGCAGTTCCCTGTAACTTTACAGGCAGCAATAAAACCCCATACCACACAGTAGTGCTTTACTTAAAAAATACTGAATATTTGGTTTACCTGAACATTACGGATAAAATACTGTTTTTACCATAAAGGCCCGAGTGAGATTCTGTATATTGCAGAATTAAGCTATAAACAAAGCAGCTCATCTAAGTGACTGAACTGCAAATTCAGTAAGTATTATCCCAGTTGTCTTCTGTTAAATAGCATATTGCTATTTGTAATAGCAAAAATATTTCATATAACTTTGAAATAAAACTATATATCACCACGCATGTGGTTTGGGTTCACAAGGAGCTTTTCTAAAACAATGTTCTATTTTAGCATTGTGTGAATTTTTTTAAAAATAGTTTGAGTGGAGAAATACAATTAAGCCTAAGTACAGACGAGTGTTCAATCTGTGAGAGGGATTATATTATGAATAAATTACATTAAATCTAGGTTTTGGTGGAAAAAAATGAGCTGTTGGACTAAAAATCTTGGGGGGAAAAAATAAAAAGGAAAGTGGAGATTTCATAACAGTATATTCAAAGAAACCCCATCAGTTTAAGATCTCATGCTTTCTTTTCTACAGCTGACTTTAATAATCTTTTTCTGCTTTCAGTGTCTACTGTAGGATTTGGATTTGTGCTGGACATGGGGTTTTTTGAAACAATAAAGCTGCTACTTTGGGTTGTATTCATAGACTGCGTTGGCGTTGGCCTCCTGATTGCAACTCTGATGTGGTAAGTAGTGATTTCTGAAACTGAGTTCAGTATTGCTATTCAGACGTGGAGAGTCCTCTGCTGTTTGCAAGACACTTGGTTCTTTGTTTAGGGTAAACTTATTAAGCAAGTATTGCCTATAAGTTTTGTGCTGTTGTAGTAATTGTTTCAAAATGTTGCAATAAAAAAGAACACATCTTTTTCTTCACTATTTCTTGCAAAACATAAAAAAAAATCAGGAAGTGTGTATTACAGTAAACATTCCAGCTTCTTTTCTTTCTTTTTGAGCTGGTTAATAGTCAGCAGTAATGCCAAATAAAAAATGTGTTCAAAAAAACCCAAACTGTTCAATCAGAATAATGAATGAAAAAAATAAGCAATGTAAGACTGAGGATGATTCTCTTTAAGCCCACGCTCCTTGCTGAAGATTTTAGCAAGTGCCACAACAAGCCACATCTGTTCTGTCTCACATGTGGCAGCTTCGCTGCTTTGGTGCTACTCACTGCTGGTTTTATCCTCTAGTGTCCAGGGACTTGCAGAAGTGGAGAGGCAGGAGCAGGTCAGCTTACAATCCAGGCCTCAGCACCGTGGATGTGTCCTGCAGCAATGAGGGAGCCATGAAACAATGGGAAGCTGCTGTTTCTGTGCTGTGGCAAAGGGAGGGCACCAAAGAAAGTATTTTTATTTTACCAAGAACTTAAGAAAGTAAAAACATTTAAAAGAGTTCTTAGGGATGGAGCCGACATCTTAAACTGATGCTGATTGGAAAAGGGATAAATTCCTTTCAAACAGTGGCCTCGGGAACTCCTGCAAACTTCAGGATGAGGCATGTACAAGAACTGTAGCTGATAGATGAAAAGTCCATCTGACCTATGCTTGTGTCTGGGACAGCAACCCATAAATTGCTTGGGGAAGAGCTTATAGTAAAGCTCTCTGCTCCCAGCCTGCCATTCTCTAGCAGTTTGTGCCTCAGGGTGCAGTCTTCTGAACCAGGAAGGCTTCAGCATCTGCTGATTTTCCTCTGTCTTTTAATTGGCTTCCTGCAGGCCTCAGTACTAGTCATCTGGCTCCAGTTCGGTTCAAGTCCCTTTTTCCAGTGCAGGCTCACCCTTTTTTCCAAAAACTCCCCCCATTCTTAAAGAGTCTAAACCCCTTCTTGCCTTGCCTCATCTCACCTCACCCCCAGGCTCTGCCTCCTTCTGACCCCACCCTTGGCACAAAGAGTATGTCAGAGGAAGCTTTCATAAAAACTCTGGTCCCTTAACTCATTTCTGAGCATGTATTGACTTCTTGTTCCTCTTCTAAATGTGATAAATTTTGTTATGTCAGCAGAACTTAAGCTGAAGCACAGTCCTGAGGCTTATTCCATAGCCTCTAACACCAGGCAGTGCACATTCCATTTGCATTTCTTTTCAGTAAGAATGGGCTCACGTTATGAGCACTATCCAGCTCTCCTCCTGTCTTTGCAGTGCACCAGTTCTGTAGAGATGAAATAAGCCATCTTATGTGATGTGTGCTGATCCTGTATGGGCACTTTACTGGTTTCCTCCCTGTGTGTACAGAGAGAAGTCGCAGCTTGTGGCTGCACTGATAAGATTGTAGCGCTGGTTTCTTTAAAGAAGCATTTTGTTTCTGTATTACAGGCAGTGTAGTACAGTGTTCCAGCTGTCTGTCTGTCATGGTTTGAGAACCCCAAAATCCAATTCTTAGCTTAGTCCTGCTCTCTCTCTCTCGGCTCTCAGACAACTCTGTGTCTGCCTTGGCTGCATGCTGTTTGCTGCTTCTTCAGTTCTTATCTGTTGGCTCTTTGCCACTGTCCTCTGTCCGCTGCTGCCTCTACCGCTGCTCCGTTTGCCCACTCACGGTGGAGAAAACTCCTTCAGCTTCCTAGCTACAGGCACTTAGCTCAGTTTAACACTGCTCCAAGTCCCTGCACCCCCGCCCAGCTAGGGCTGGGGGGCCCAGCCCCCAGTGGGGCTGCTGCTGCTTCTCCTCGTGGCTTTACAACATGGCTACTTCTTCCACCCCAAAACTACAACTAAGCTTCTCTTCCGTTCTGCTTGTGATATGTTTATATTTTGCAGAAGCACTCATTGGGTAAAACCTCAGAACTTCAAGGGTCACCACCCCCTGGGGTTTTACCATTTTATAACTGCAGGGGGGAAAACTGTTTCCCCCCACCACACTGTCGCATGCAGGGGGATGTAATCATAATTTTAACAAAAACATTTTAACAATGGTCTGGTCTGCATGATTCTTGCATGTTTTTTCTCCCAGATAGCAGACACTTTTGGGTAGAGAATTGGAATTGCATATGACTTACTATGTCAAACCTATGTTTTGATTGTCAGCTTTATAGATTCACATTAACAATAGTCTCAAATATCTTTTTATGTAGGTTCATTTCTAATAAGTATTTGGTGAAGCAGCAGAACAGAGACTATGATGTGGAGTGGGGGTATGCCTTTGATGTGCATCTGAATGCTTTCTACCCACTTCTAGTAATTTTGCATTTTATCCAGCTGTTCTTCATCAACTGTAAGTAGAATACTTTGAGCTCTCTGCTTCAAAATGGTGCGCTATCAAAACAGCTGAGAGCAGTTATCTCTTGCAGATGTCATCATATCTGACTCTGTCATTGGGTATTTTGTTGGGAATACATTATGGCTGATTGCCATCGGCTATTATATCTATGTGACATTCCTGGGATACAGTGGTGAGTGACATCAATTTCTTTTGTATTCATTTGACTAAAAACAAGAGCATGTTTTCAGTCTATTAATTTGATCTTAGTATATTAATTTGTAAAGCAGAGGCTCAGCTGGGTGTTGAAGTAATTCTTTCTTTGTGGTAAAAGAAGTTTGATAGAAATTTACCCATCCGGATTTTCAGCTGAGTGTACATCTTAAC